AATTATTAGAAGGTGATTTGGGTTTAAGCCCTGAACAATCTTGTATCTACATGTTGATCTTAGACCACGCTGGCGAACACAACGTAACTTACGAAGAATTCTTCAACTGGCTGCGAAGTGGCGAACGCTTTGAAAACATCAACGACAAGTCGAAGTTCGGAAAATTGTGCAAAGCAGTGGAAATATTTAAAACTTATGACAAGGACGACACAGATACACTGGACAGAAAACAGTTTGAAAGTCTCGTAAAATCTCTTGGATACCGAAAGGTGAATTCAAAGAAACTCTTCAAGGAATTAGACGTGGATCACAATGGGAAACTTTCCTTTTATGAATTTATGAAATGGCTTAATTGGGTTCCAATTGAAGACTTCTAGAAACTTACCTAGCTCGGTTATGATCATAAGAAACTTAATTTATCACATGAGTACCTGTTAATTTTATTCTTTCACAGGGGATTTGTTTAAAATATTGTAGGAAAATGTGTATGAAGTAGCACGTATTTGTTCACATCTATCGAGGGCTGCATTTAAATTATGGTAATAGATGTTAACAATTGTATAGAGATTTATATTTCAAAAAAATATATATATTTGGATTCACATTCTCAATGGCTGTATACTTGCAATTGAATAAATATTTGAAGCACATTTCTTTATAACCCTCTCGCGAATATTTGTTTTAAGTTTTCAGTTTCTCGAATGAAAATTACGCCAAACCAAAAAATCAGGCGATCGTGAGCTTTAACTAAATGAACTCTTGCTGTTATGGTAACATATAGCCTTAATGACCACTTGAAATAAATACTCTGACGCCTTTCCCTTTAAAATTTCATAATCCATATGGAAGTACGTGATCTCATTTCAAGCTTTGACAATACAAGCTGGTGTAGATGATTTCGCAGAAAAAAGTACTGATAACAAATGCATATAATCACTGGAACACACTTCGTGAATTTTGCGGCTTTTCAGTAGCTGGGGCCCGTTTCTCGAAAGTCCCGATAATTAACCGGCTAGGAAAGCTGTTGATGTTTACATGTAAAAAAAAAGTTTCAATACTTTTGCATCTAACATGATAAAACTACCAGTTAATGAAACAAAATGGACTACGGTAAAATTTCGAAAATAAGCCCCTCCAAATATAAGCCCCCCAAACCGGTAACGCAATAAACCCTCCGTTAAGTCGCCCCTCCAAATATAAGCCTCCCGGGGGCTTGTACTGTAAAACAAAGCAAAAACGGTAAATTTACTTCCAACTATAAGGCTAGCCCAATCGATTTCGAAACACAAATTTCCCTCCGTAGAAAAGTCCCTCAAAAAGGCCTTTGAAAAATATAAGTCCCGGGGATTCATGATAGCCTGCGTGGCAGGCGTTCGAAAGGGAAGGGGAAGGGAATTAGGGCGCGAGACGCGCGCCCGAATTCCCCTTTTCCCTTCCCCCGGCCCTTTAACGCCTGCCACGCAGGCTACGGGGCTTATTTTCGGAATTTTACGGTATTTTGCTAGCCAGGCCTACCCGCGCTCTTACTATTTTTATTTCGATTTGAATATTTGATTTCGGCGCCCGAAAAGTTATCGGGACTTTAGAGAAAGGGGCCCCCGCCCCTTTTTTACAAATTTTGCGTCACAGTGGAAGGACAGTTGCAGTTCTAGGAAACTTTTATTAAAAATGGGGTCATATCCGCAAAATATCTGGAGCACCTTTTATTTAGAACTTCAAATAGATGAAAACGAAGTAGTTAAACCGGAATACCACGCGGAAGTGTTTCCATATCCAGGAAATGTTTATAATCCTAAAGTGTCTTAATTAATTCTGAGAAATGCCTTGAAAAAATTCAAATTATTCATCACTCATGAGTTACTGTAGACATGTGACCATGGAGACCGTAAAAAGACTGGAACGTGGGCTCAACTATAATTATAGCAGCTATTTCAGGAGGTTCTATTTCAGGAAGTGGTTGACTCTTCTCAGAAGTGTGTCCAATTCTAGGAAATGTTTATTTTGTCGTTGTTGAGAATCAGCAAGTCCACCAATTTTTCGTACTTTTAAAACTGAACAAGTACTCCAATGGCAGCTGTAGAAGGTAAAGGTGAATCGCCAGATTTTTCGCAACCATGGAAATTTAGCGATGTCGTACTGGTGGTTGAAGATAGGAAACTTCATGTTCACCGAGCTGTGCTTGCGTTGTGTTCTCCCGTTTTCGAGAAGATGTTTACATCCGAATTTCAAGAAAAAGGCAAGAACGAGATTTCTCTTCCAGGTAAAAAGGCAAATGAATTGATCCAGTTGCTTCAGATCATTTACCCTTCTGTATCAGAGAAGCCAACCGATCAAATAAAAGAGGAGAATTGTCGCTTTTTGTTACAGCTTGCGGATGAGTACCAAATGGATGCTATTGTTCGGAGATGCGAAGATTACATTGTCACTACGTTGAAGAGAACGAGAAAAGGAATAATTGAAGAGCTGATATTTGCTCAGACATACAACTTACAGAAGCTGAAGCGGACGAGCATTGAACTGGCTAAAGATCTTAGCCTTCAAGAACTCAAACGTAACAAATTATACGGCAAAATCAATGCAGAGAACCTGCAAGGAATTTTGGAAGAAATAATAATCCGGCTTGAGAAAGAAGTGAGCTCATTTAAAGGTCAGAAGCGTTCGGTACGCGAGTGGACAGATTGGTAGTAAACTTTAAAAAAAATAATACTTCACTGAAAGTAAGTAAATCTGTACTCTTGAATCGCAAGGTTTTTTCAACAAAACGTTGACAAAGAAATGACCGTAAGAGCTATTGTTTTCAAGTTCCTGGGAGAACTGTATATTTGCGCGAGCAACTGAGGCAAATTATGGGAGTCGATAGTTGAAAGTAAAATTCCTAAATTATATCAAACGAATTGCATATAAATGCAAATAAATAATATTTGTCTTTGTATATGGTAGAAATATTCCTTTTTGTTCTAGCCAGTTTACGGGTACCTCACTCAAAACAATTGCGGCAAGTTAAATGATCTAAACTTAATGAAACATAACCATTGCTAAAAGCTCCTAGCTTGTAGGAGGTAACCAGTTCGCTCTTTGCAAGCAAGGCTGAGAAGTTAAACTTAGGATTGCCGAGAACGAATCGTGCTGGTGATGTGAGCGGGTCTCGAGCGCGGGACAGTGGGATTGCTAGTCCAACATGCTGACCACCTAGCAAAGCAGACACCCCCAACTACCCTTAATGCCGTAAATATTACGTTCTCAAAACAGATAACCGATGAGCAACACAAATATATCTCTGAGCAGTCAAGTCGTGTAATAAAGAAAAAGCGCAGTTTTATGGCCTATTTACAAGTGTAAACAACTTCGAACGGCTCTATAAAAATTTGAACAAGCAGATATAATATCTGTTCCAATTTTATCCGTTCGTTACCAAAAAATGATCTACAAGCGCCCATGTTCCGATTACAGAATAGAAGGCCTGAAAATCAAATGTGGCATCACCAACAAAACAAGCAGTTATCGCCTGACCCAAAAATATGTCTATATTGCTGGCTAGACTATTAAGACGATGAGCCGGGGAATGAGTAGACGCCTTTTTCTCCTCCAATGTCCCTCCTCACCCCTCCCCCAACTCCAACCACGAGCACTCTTTAAAGAGCCCTAACTCTTTTCACCTTTTGTTTGCAAATTATGTTCCAGAATCAAAACGAACGCTACGTGTTCTCTATCTCCACCAAGTTTATTAACTTTAAAAAAGCAAGAAAGACGGCAGGGCCGAGTTGTTCAAAGCTGGGTTAAGATAACCCAGGGTTAGTGAGAGATTTGAATTACGATTTGAAAGCTTAAAAAGCATTTCAGTTTCAGTTCTTTTTGTCTACAAGTTGATGACTGGAAGCTCTAAAAATAGCAGAGAAAATTATCCGAGAAAATGCTTTTGAACCCAAGAAAAAGAAACCCGGGTTAAGCGCTAATCGGCTTTTGAACAACCTGGCCCAGGGCGCTACAATTTATTTCGAGGACACATTGTAAGAAATTCTACGTGGAACAATGGTATTTCATTCTGACTTTACAGGGAGAAGTTGATCCTTTCTTACTCCACAGTGCATTATAGAAATAATAAAAGCTACAAACAACGAACACAGCAAAGTTTCCAATGTGTCGTACACTAACTTTGGGAAGAATACACTCCAGAGGAACAGCAGGTGATACCGCTGACAGAATTCCAATGTAAGAGTGATGACGTGACACGCTTGGTAAAGAGATTCTGCAACCTATAGAAAGTAATGGACCAATGAAAAGTTCCAGGCTAAAAGATCTATCAAACGAAATAGGACGAGTCACTATCCATTAGATGCAACACAAGTGCTATAAAGTGGACTTCTCGATTAAGAGATCAGTACAAAGTTGCGTCAGTCTTCTAAAATCTATACCCAGTGAAAGGAAACAAGTTCAGTGCTCAGAGCTAGAGGATATGGTGCCTTGAGTACCCTCAGCTTTACAGAGATCATAAAATAGATCCTTTCTCCGTAGGGCGGTTGGAGAGGACCCTGGGAACGAGGCTAGCCATATCACGTGTCCCCGAGGCCTCGAGGATCCTACGTTCCGCGTCAAATTCGTTTTCGGTCCTTTGCATTTTTAATGTCAATTTAATCCCAGTTATAATTTGTTGAAATACTTCCGGGAAACACAACATAAACTTAGTCGTTTCATGAATTCACACATTGCTTCCCTGGCTCCTTCCCGAGAGGGAAGGGAAGGAAAAATTCCGCAAGCTTTTCAACAATTATGACCGGGACTGCAGCCCGAAACCAAGAAGATGTTAGATCTTGTCATGAGTGATTTGTTTTCAATTTACTTCCATGCAGGAGGTAATAACGGAGAAATTTTGATTTCCTGGAATTGTGTGTAACTCTGAGAAATGTTTACAATACTGGGATGTATTTTTAATTCTCGGAAACGCTCTTTTTAATGCTGAATTAATCATGAGCTACTGTATAGTAACCGTCTGGTGGAAATCATCAATGTTAATCGTCCTCCTTCAATGTTGTGAAATTAAGTCTGCCAAAAGTTTTTAGTATTGGGTTAACTTTTAATCCACCAATGGTAGATAAAGAAAGTAACGGTGAACCTCAAGATTTTACACAACCATGGAAATTTAGCGATGTCGTTCTCGTGGTCGAAGGTGAAAAACTCCATGTTCACCGAGCTGTGCTTGCCTTGTGCTCCCCCGTTTTCGAGACGATGTTTACGTCCGAATTTCAGGAAAAAGAGAAGAAAGAAATTTCCCTTCCCGGCAAAAAGGCTAACGAAGTGAAGGAGTTGCTTCAGGTTATTTACCCTACTGTAGAAAGGAAGCCACCCGATGAAATAAAAGAGGAAAATTGCCACTACCTCTTAAGCCTCGCACATGAATATCAAATGGCAGCCATTACTCAGAGATGCGAAGACTTCATTGTCAAAATAATGAAGGAATCTTTTTCAGTGAAAAAGGATCCGGATATCATTGCAGAGCTGGTATTTGCACAGACGTACAACTTAAAGAAGCTAAAGCAGGCAAGCATTGAACTGGCTCAAAGTCTTGCTCTTCCAGAGTTGAAAAAGCAAAAAGGTTACGATGAAATCCATTCAGAGAATCTTCAGGAAATTATGGAAAGAATGATAACACGGCTACAGAGTCAATTGACTGACACTCAGACTAAATTAAGTGAAGCTAAGCGGTCTCTATCTTATTTCCAACTGCGATAAAAGACCTCATCACACAGCACACAACGTCAATTTTTGGAAAATATCTGTTCTGTAGACGATTTGAGATCTAGAATTTTCGGAACATTTTTGTGTAAAATTTCTTGCTTGCCTGCCTCTCCAAGGATTTTCGAACATCTAAAAAATGGTATAATTGGCCATTTTAACGGATTTTTACCCTAAAAAGATCATCTAAGTAGTCTAGTGTGTTGAAAATTAAGCCTCATTGGTGGATTCCCTTTGGATTCCCTCGCAAAAAGTGGATTTCCTTCATTGCATAATATGCAGGATTCCCTCCATACGTAGTAAGTGTCTTCCTCCATATCTAATTATGTGGATAGTCGTTTCTTTTCTTTTGAAAGAACACAATAGGAACTATAGGCTTGCCTAGACTTGTCCGGTATGTAACTTGAGCCCGGTTTACCGGAATGTCTATTACACCTAGCAACGCGAGAAACGGCTTACTATATCTTATTTAGCGCTAAAAAAATCGGATACATCAACAGAACACATACACAAAGTGGTGCTGAAAAGTCTTTATTTCAATTTTGTCTGACAATTACAGAACCGTTTTTTCCTGTCTATCTCGAGGACATGAAAAACGATTAAAGTTTTGTCATTTTCACGCACTGTTAGTCAGTTAATTGTGCGAGTTCACAAGCCCAAAGTTGAATACAAATTAATTCATCTCTACAGCTAGACCCAAGGGAGCACCTTGACGTAAAAATATCATATAAACAATGGTTTTACGCAGTTTTCAATGGAATCAAACCACTATGAGATGAAGCCGCGTTTCCAAAGCTTATCATTTTCTTAAAAAATTAAATTAGCTAATTGTGTGGATAGCATGCTATTTCACTGTTTTTATGATGCTTACAACTTCGTTTCAAAATATTTCGAAAACGCTCTCATAGAATTTGTTCAAACTTTGACGTAATTGAGGCAATTATGGCAGGTACAAACTCCCTGAAGCGATTTCTTAAAAAAACTCTTGGTACAGAGAATCACAAAGATAAATAAAAAACGTAATTGCGTCGTGACGTTGCCATGGCGACTCCGATTGCAATAAAACCCAGATCATAAGAAATTTTCATCTTTATATAATACAGTTGTGGTAACCTTTTTCCCATATCTTTACTCATGGCAACGTAGTTAATGCTCAAACTTGGGAGGTATCCCCCCCAAAAAAATCCAGTCGACCCTTCTTAGCAAGGATCAATTAAAACACGCGACTAATAATTGCTAGCATATAAAACCACAAGAGAGATACCGTTTTAAAAACTTTATTAAAAACCAATAACAAAAAGAGTCAAATACACAGCGATTGGAAAGGAAAAGGAACGAAAATTAATCCTTTGACTGACTATTAAAAATCCGTTTTTTGCATTCTATTTCGAGGAGTAATAAATAATCCTTCCGTGTCTACACAATTTCCCTATGGACTCTAAGCCAAGAGTTCGACTTTCTTTGTTTCTTGCGCTTTGTCTTGTTCTTTGAAGTCGGTCTTTTAGCTTCATTTCTCTGTGATCTTGACAGTTCGTACACCGTTTCTTGTGTCTGTACTAGACTGCGATAGTGATTTTTTCCGGAATTATCCGCTTCACTTTAGTAAACGACGACCTCAACTGTAGGTTGCAGTTTCACCTCTTGTAAATACTGTCTTCACTGTATGTGGTCTAACTGATGAACATCCGCGAGATGGTTAGCTAATCTGACAAGGTACTTCGCCCCTCACGATGAAATCGGACAGTTTCTGCAAACTCTCTTGTAAACCATGTTGACAAGTCGATGACTGAACACAAATGACATCTATTTCGCAAATAGTCAGGTTATATAGACCGTCAGAAAGGCCAAACGCAGGCCAGAAAGGCCATAACCAGGTCTGAAAGGCCAAAACCAGGCCAAAAGGGACAAAAGGAGACAAACGGGCCATTTCTAGTCATGTGTCATTATTTTTTTCAGACACACGCGTGGGTTTCGCGCGTCGCTAGTCACGCAAGCTCTCAACATTGGAATCATCATCTTTATTAAGACAGTGTACGTTATCACAAATAACAGTACCTAATTAAAAAAGTTTTGATCGTGAATTAGTAATTGGTATTTCAAGTTTCAGATTTTTTTACTTATTGTACCAGTTTACTATTATTGTTTTTATGATCAAGTAGCAAAAACCAACTAATAAGAGGAATGCAAAGAACAATGTGAAAGCTGGGAAGAATGCTATAAAAGTCTTGAATAACAGTAACCCCATCCAGATTAGAAAAAAGACGGTCAAGAAACGGTTCACTGATGGCAGCCTCTCGAATTTTACACGATTTGGTCATGATGCTAAGAGAGAAAGAGGACTCGTACTGAAAAAAAACGCAACGTCAACTGCGTCATTATTGTTATTATGATCAAGTGAGCAATAAAACACTCTTAAAGTTTGGTTGTTTACAGTTTTTATTGAAACGCAACAATACAAAGGTTCACGAAAAATCATAACGTTCCTAGTTGGACTAGTCCTTAGCTTGTGGAATGGGCTGCTTTTGATACAGTCGATTGAGTAAGAATTTTCGCTTATCAATCGCTAGTTCTGTCGATTCCAACCAATCGCATTCTTCTGTATCTTTTAGTTCTTTTTGTGTTTCAATCACCTTTTTGAAGGAGGGATCTTTTTTCATTGCACGCATCCACTGTAGATTCTGTAAGGGTACTTTTCTTAGCTCTTTTCTGTAAACAGGAAGAAGAGCGTTCTCGGCTTTCACGAGTGCCACATTTTCTGAATCTCCGTTCCCTTCGTACCAAGAGCTTCGTACTCATTGATCAATGCGTTGAGCTGGGTCTTATGGCGTTTCTCAGCTTCATCAAGAATGCGTAACCAAGGCGCTAAGTTTTCTGTTTCTTCTTGGGAAGACTCCGTTCCTTGGCTAGAGACTTCGCTTTCTTGGGAGAAATCGCTTTCTTCGCTGTCTTCATAGTTTCCAGCACCTTGTTGAAGATTGTAATGGTGGTTGTTCCACATTTCTTTGGTTTGAGCCGCACGCGTGCTAATAGGAAACTAAACTTCAGAAAGCAACGCGTCTCTTTTAAGCGTTCTCCTTCCTTAATAATAATCGATCTTACATCGACTTACATCTGCCAAACTAAGGCCAAACGAAGGTAAAAAGGGCCAAAACCAGGACAATCGGGCCAAGTTTTGTAATACTTTCTCTTCAGTCTATGTATCTTTGGAAAATAGGTTTCTAGACGGCCCCATCACACCAATACAACTGGGACAACTGTACCCTTCTACGGTGTCTCCTGGTCTCTTGCTTTCTAAGTAACGACGACAATCTTGACAGAGCATTATATAACGGAGGCCATCGTTGTCCAGGCGAAGGGCTAAACATTTATCTTTTAATTCGTCACGTGTAATATACTCCTCAACAACGACAGTCAGTCGGCTCCACTTAGTATTTAACAATTCCTCGCGCCCGAATGGGCCCTGAGTCAATAGCTATTGACTCAGAGGCCATGAGGGCGAGAGGAATAGACCTTGTCACGGTTTTCGACGCCATCTTGACGAGTAGGCAAACTTGTGAGAAATTACAGTGTTTGCATGTATGAGAATCTAATGTCGAATAATTTCCGTAAAACGGTTGCTCTGAAAAAAATATTCTTTGTAACTGTAAAGCTACAAAGCAAAGGATTGCACTAAAAAAATGTGGGGGCGTACCTGTGCTTAAACTTCTCCAGAGGCTTGCTTAAGATTTTCCATATATTTGTCTGTATTTTTTCCCGGGACTTTGTTACAGACAAATGTATAGAAAATTTTAAAAAATGGTTCTAGGTCTTCTAGCGCGTGTAAGGCCCTCAATTTTTTTCAGTAGAATCCTTAGGATTGAAGCTTTAGTTTACAATTGATATTTTTTTCAGAACAGCCGTTCTACGGAAATTATTCGACATTAGATTCTCATACAAACACTGTAATTTCTCACGCGTTTGCCTACTCGGCAAGATGGCGTCGAAAACCGTGACAAGGTCTATAATTGTTTTGGTAAAATCCAATTAGTTGGTAGAAAATATCGAGAATAAAAAGCTTTTAGCTAGTTAAAGCTAGAATTAAATTCTTTTTTTGCGCCAAAATGCCCGCGCTTTTCGCTACTAGCGGGCTATAACATATAGCCTAGTAGTGGCTCAACCAATCAGAACGCAGCATTGATAATGAACCGCAAGTTGGATTTTGCTAAAATGAATTTATTCGTTGCATTCCTGACACCCGGAAGGAAACAAGATAAAAGAGCGAGGCAGAATCAACCAAACGAACGAGCTAACAGAGAAAATTAAGGTAAAAGGATCATGTAACAGTGATAAAAACTCAACTTTTATTTCCTTTCAGCATAAAAGCTTACAAACTCCATTCCTAGAAGTAAACCATGAAATCACGAACATTCAGCCATCTTGTTAACAAAGTAGTTTCTTCATTCAGATTTCTGCAAGCTAAGTCGCTCCGTTCTTACTACGAAACACGTCAGACAAATAACAGAAATAGAAAGCACAGAGTACAGCAAAGTTTTGGTTGTTTCGTAGAGCAACTTCGGCGAAAAGACACTCCAGACGAACAAGTGATACCGCTGACTAAATACTAATGTACAGTAAACACAAAGGACCACGGACTGGCAGAGAGCGATGACGTAACACGCTTGGTAGAGAGAGACCTGTAAACTAAAGAAAATGATGAATAAAACGTTCGTTAGTGTCGTTTAAAATTAAGACTCTTGAAGCTAACTGGGCAGAGCCCGGCAATCTAGGCACAGTACTCACTGATATATTTCGTAAAATTAGTTACGTCCTCATGGTCAGGGTTAAGATTGCATGTTTTTACCAGGAACTTGATCTGGAATTTTCTCTCTACCGACCAAAGGTTTGCCTCGGGGTTTTGAGTCTTTTGAAAAAATCGTTAACGTAACCTTTCAAATCAGAGCCGAGATATGCCGCAATTTCTTTTCTAAGTCTATATGGTGAACATAATGGTTCCATCTTTCGTAGTGTTGCTGATAAAATATCACAAAGAAACAGATAAAGTGATGTAAAGTTAAACTTTTACGTACCTCACTGCATCTCTGGTGTTTTGTATAACAGACAAGATTCCAGCCATCAGCCACAGACAGGGACCGCAATAAGTGGCTACATATGTGAGAGGGACCATAATACTGGGTACAAAATCCTCTAGACCCACATAGCCCGCAGAAATATCCACTGAGGCCAGGCTGTTTGAGTTCCCAAGGGAAAAGTACATCGCATGGCCCATCCACAAGGAACTGAGGGTAACGATCCACGACTTCTCTTTGCTACGGAGAAAATGAAATAAATAATGACAAATAATAAAACAGTAAGATGTCATGATGTAATGGGAGAACTTGATAGTTCTCAAAAGCGAGATTAACTGAATCAATTTCCTTCCAAAGCGACAGAGTTCGAAGAAGTCTTTTAAGTTTCATAAAAGCAAGAATTCAAACCTCGCATAAGATGACAACAATAAGATGTTGAAGGGACACCAGAGTTCAACTATTTTCCAAAACACAAACCGCCTTTTTAATATTTCATGGCTTGATTTCAAGTACTTTTTTAGACATATCGTGACTCATATCAAATTCTTGATTCTTGTAAGTATTTAAGTATTTTGCGACATTTTACGAGCACGTAATGTATTCTTTTGCATCTCAAGAAATCATGTCTGCATTTTAACAAATGTCGCGAATTACCTACGTATTTTCTAGCTTAAACTTATTACTATTGAAGGATAATCGAGAAGTTTTTCAACTAGCAAACAATTCATTAATTAAATACGTAATTTCCTAGTAACCGCAAGTCTGTTTCAAAGCAAGGCTTAGAGCAAAGCCATGGATATGAAAATGGTGTTTTATTCTCACGCAAATAAAACTCATTTTCACAAGAAAGGTTTTGAACTTAACCTCGTTTGGAAAGTGGGTTTTTGGAACTTGGAAATGGCCTACTTGGCCCATTCTTACAGAGTCATATATACTGCCTCATATACCTACCTTTTCCAGAGTACTTGGCTTAATATACTTTCTTGAAGTACAAAAATAGCCAAGATGGCAGCATTGTGGGGTCGCTGAAGAAGGATTTCCAGCAACAAAAAACTAGACAGGAGTCCTTCAAGAGGTTCACATACATCACAAATATATTCCTGGAAAAGCCTCTTCTTTTTACTGTTATTTGCCTTAAATAAGAGAATTACATTCCACAACACCATGGCTGTCACGCAACAGTAAGTCACTCGCGCTTCAATAATCCCTTTTGTGATTGGTTCGTTTGGTAACCATGGTAACTGAACATTTCCAGTGACAGCTCGATAGAGGTAGGAATATACAGAACCAACGATGAACAGAGCGGAAGTGAGAATATCATGGCGACCGTAGCGAAATCCAATGATAAACAAAAGTGATGTAAAATAAGTTATTGATAATATTATCTTGTTTTCTGGCTTAACAAGCCTATCTCCTATATCAGGTCTATCAGCCCATTTTATTCCGGTTTGATTCCACGCTCTAGATAGTCTTCCTAAACCAAGAAGTACGAAAACAACCAGACAATACGATAACTCTCTATACTGCGCTTTCGCCACTTCCCTCGAATAACAATTGTTCTCCCTCCTACTCGTTTCAGCGTTGACAAATTCTTCTCTTGAAAAAAGATCGCCTAATTTCACGTTAGTAAAAATCACTTGGTCTGTACTCAAGCCTGTGTGCGTTAAACTTTCACTATGATTGAGGCGTTTTTCTTTCCTATATCTTCCACAATTTTCACCGTCCAAGTTTTCTGGCTGCGTGGCTTTTTCTGGTGTTACCTCCGACGCAACGCGAGTGTTTTTCTTGCAAAATAACACACTTTTCTCCAATAAAATGATCATGAAAAATGTCGATGTGAGAAAATACCAAGTCTGATGCTCCTCTTCAACAAAACTACTCGATAAAAGGCTAAATGTGTGAAGTAAAACTCCTGTTATAAGAAAAAGGTGTCTTCTGCTTTGAAAAAGAGAAGAAAACCAAGATAAAGTCCACGATAAGGATGGTTTAAGGTTTGGAATACGAAGCAAAATGAATGCGAGAGAGACTCCAGTCTGCAGCGCTACGGTCGAACTGTAAATAAAGGATTCGACGCTGTTCGCAGCACACATGACGTCACTTCCCCCTGAAAAATTAAAAGGAATTGAGAAAGGAGTAGTTTTCTTATTTGAGAGACTATATTATGAGGAATAGTTTTGCACGCAAACTGTCGTTTTGTCCAGTGTAGATTCACACAATTGTCCAGTAGACTGCAGCGAGCAGCCTCTCTTTTTCTACAAATTTGGTGACGCGAGCGCACGAGACACGAGAAACCAGAGTGGTAGCTCCCGCCTTGCGCCTTGAGTCACGCGCGTGGTATTTTTCGTCTCTCGCGCGTTTCGCTCGACGGGTCACGGATTAAGGGAAAAAAGAGACTGCACGCAGTTTAATTTTCCAACGCTGACCACAGGATATTTTATTTTTGTATCTCCTTCTTAGTTCTACACTTCTAAAATTGTAGAAGTTTGGAATAGTCTGTCAAAGCAAGGATTAAGTAGATTTTTTCCCTGCCCGGCACGAAACAGCGGTCATTCGTTACTTAGTTCTCACACTTAATAGGTACGAAGGGGTGGAAGTGTCTGACCAAGTGAGGATAATGTCGCCTATTTCTCCCCGGTCACGAACCGTTTGTCATTTATTACTTAGTTCCACACTCAGAGATGTGAAAGCGTAGTTAGTAGAGGGGTCCTCTTTACTAACTATGGTGAAAGTGTAAAGGAGTCAGTCAAAGTGAAGAAAATGTCACAGTTAGTGCCAAAGCACTCCCAAGTCATTGTCGACTTCTAATCAGCGCCTTGTGATCAAAACTATTTTTTGTTTGCAACCTGGAAAAAAAAAACGTCTCAAAGCAAGGGAATCTCGGAAAAGAAAGTTTCAACTGCTTTTTTCACTTACCAATCACCGTGCTGGAACAAGCTAAGAGGTGGAGAACGACAACAAGAGGAACAGCGCCGCTCACCACAAAGACACTTGTCACAGAGACATCAAGGCTTTCATCTGTTTTGTTTGGAAAAGAAATTCGACACAACCCACAGGCCACCCAGTAAAGCGTTTGAATAAGAACAGCTATACCACAAATCATTGCATGAAGGTCGTATTTTGAAAGCGAGGCGGTCATGCGACTGGTCATTTTCTCAAGAGCCAGGATGTACTGCTTAGCAACCTTTCCCGCCGTTGTCTTGAGATTTGTGGAACTGTGTCCAGATTCTGTGGATTTGAGCCAATCAGAGTGAAGCTTGTGGGCGTGGTGTAGTTCGTACATGTTCTCTACAGAGTGGCCATTTGCGGTAAGTGTTTTAGACAGCTGGTGTGTGTTAAGCTGTAGAGCCCTTAGCATTTCTCTTGGTGTATGAAAGCCAAAGAGGCTTGGTATAGCAACTCCTATGCTGAAAAGAAAACAAAGGAGGAATCAGATAGAATTTACCAAAACCATTACCAAAACCACGAAAAACATAAGAGCTTTTAATGGAGAAAGCATTGTGTGGGAAGAGTAACTTCTCTGTGGTCAGTTCTGTCCTAGGTTTTGAGTACGTCTGTGTACTCCTTACATGTAATCAGTCAAATGAATAGCATTGATCGAGCTGTATTTTCCCTTGGTGCTGTTTATTTTGCTGTACAAGAACATTTAAAACGTTTGCTGCCAAAATTTTGTACTGAAAAGCCACTTGGTTCTGTACCGGTAAAAGCCAAGAGGCGGGAAATAGTAAAACGCTAATGAGCGTTTTCCTTCACATTGTTAGTTGAAGTGTTGTGATATCCTTACACTCTGGCTAAAAACAATATAGTTGAGTATACTTTCAACACTCCCAGGTCTTATGAACTAATATCCTCTCAAGCTCCCTCAGTAACCTTTGTCTTCATGAGATTGAATTATCCTTTGCAGCCTAGGATTTAGTACCAAGGAGCATAGGTTTCTATCTTGCATGGCTTTTAGCGTTTATGAAGTGTAGTCGTTCGTAAGGCTTGTCTGTCTGTCTGTTGGGTACTTGGTTTGTTTACGCCCCTTGAGAAACGAGTAAGGATTTAGAAGCTTTAAATAGTTAAATAATGAAGGCCGTTTCGTGTTTTACCTATTTTGAGGTATTGGAAGCCCCAAAAGAATACTCAAAGTCGGCACCAGATCAATTTGTTGAACTTCTTTCCTGTTAAATACTTCACCTCCAAGATGTTCAAACAAAGGGCTCATAAACACAAGGGGAGTACTTGTCTCTGAGGATGATGCACCACCATGGCTCCCTGCATCACTCATTCCATGATCACCACAGAGTACCATCAGAGAAGGTGCCTCTCTTTTTCTATCCCAACTGAGCATTGCGTTATAAATGTTGTTTATAATATGGTCCATTTCCAAGAGTTTGGGTCCTACAAGGGGACTTGATGGCCCTGCAATGTGTCCTATATGGTCAAGGCCCAAGTAGTGAAGTATCATAATGTCCCAATCATCACTTTTAAGCTCACTGTCGATGTGCCTGGTGACATTGTCATCAACCTGTTAACAATAGTTATTAATATAAAAGTAAAATTGTAATGAATGGATTAGGACAAGTCATCCATCATAAATTAATTTG